GCTCCATTAACCTCTAGGGCAAGGCTGTCCAATAGAAATTTCCTCAATGATGGAAATGTACCCGCACTGCTCAATATGATAGCCACTAGCCACATGTGAAATTGGGGTTCTTAATTTTTAATTTTATTTAATTTTAATTAATTTAAATTTAAAATTAGATATTTGGGACTACCGTGTGCCCTATGAGCATTGCAACTCTGGGTATTGCTTTCTTCTGTATGACTGAAGCTGGTTTACCACCACATTTTTATTCTAATCCATAGAAAAGTAAAAGACTAAATGGAAGGCAAGTAATTTCATTTTAGGTAAGTGAAAGTAAAATTACATCATTTCTATTCACATTTCATTGCTGAAAACTTAGCCACTGTGTTGGGGGTTTCCAAGATCACCCTCAGAATTGATTTACTAGGAGGGCTCACAGTACCAAGAATATAGTTAAACTCATGGCTATGATTTATTACAGCAAAAGAATACAAAACAAAGTCAACAAAGGTAGAAGACACATAGGGTGAATTCCGGAGGAAATCAGGCACAGACATTCTTGAGTCTTCTTCAAGTGGAATGATGCTTAATTCCTCCAGCAAAGAGTTTTAAAAACATATGTCCACCAGGGACGTTATTTAGCAAGTCAGTGCCCAATGTTTTGATAGGGATACCCTATGCTTTGCACATATTAAAATTTCAGATTGCTGGAAGACGAACAGATGGTTCATATAAACCAAATTGTTTATACAAACTATTTAGGCACTCTTATCATTTAGGGCAAGTTTTATGTGGATGTAGAGAACTGTTTACCATTCAAATTCCTAGATACCAGCCAGGGGCCAAGCTTGTAAGCAGGCCTTTCTAAGGATAGCTGTCTTAGGCCTGCTATGTTCTCTTTTTAGCATAGCCACACCTAACTGCAAAGGAGGACGGGAAATGTAGCTTCTAGATGTGCAGCCACTGTCTATTACTACTATAGAGGAAGTGGAGAATAGATTTGAAAGGACAACTAGCAGTCTGCTATGGAATTTACAAACTTTGTGGCTTTGCAAATGTTGCTCAGCGTCTCTGCTCCTTTCGTGTGCCTCTGAAACAATACATGCATTGAACTGTGCCTGGCACACAGCAAGTGCTCAATAACAGATATATGTAATTTTTTCTTACAGCATGTGGGCATGTTTGGGGGTTGGTTTATCTCTTCTTTCCCATCCTTAACCCACCAGAAACACTGAAGTTGCTACAGAAGCAGCATCTGTTTACAACTTCAAATAGCAAGTTGTCTCCCTATCAGCTTTCTCTCTTCCAAATTTTTGGGTCATATTTGTAGTGAAGCCGAAGTGTCCTCAGGCCTCTAGCATTTGGGGATAATTCTTTCCTTTAGCATGCAAACATAGTAGCCAGTGTCTCCATCCTAAACTGACTATAGGGATTTCAAATCTCTCCCAAATCTCACTGAAAATTCTTAATTTTCTCAGTGGGATCTTACACATCCTGGTTTTTGTTGCCTGTCACTTCTTGCTTTAAACTCTTACCTTTGGTTTCTCCTTGGTCACTTCTTGAGGTCTCATCTCTGAATCTTCCTGTGGTTTCAACCATCTCTTTTTCATTTTGTCCCCAAATATGGATATGAACCTTTCTTCATTCTTCAGTATTAGGTTAGCACTTGGGTGACAGATACCTTTTTGTTCTGGTGAATAAAACTTATGGAAATTTTATGAGTAAGGGAGAAGGTAAATTAAAATTGGCTACTAGACATCACAGTGTCTGAAGGTTCTAGGGCACACCTGCCACAAGGAGCTCCTTATTGTCTTTTCTCTTTTTTGCCTTTTACCTCCCTGGTACCATCTGCCCTGTTGCTGGGACCTGCTGCAGAAAATTGGATCTCTTCTAAATATTCTCTCTGCCTTTGGAGCCCAACCTCCTGATCCCATGCCATTAGAAGAAACTGAAAAATCTCTCAACATTTAAAAAAACAAAAGCAAGCAAACTAACAAACAACAATAAAAAAAAAAAATCAAAAGTTCTTTCCAAGAAAGTTGTTCTTTGTCTTTCTGTTTTATTAGCAATTTTATTTAATCCATCCTCTATTCTCCTCCATGACTTGGAACCTACTACTCCAGCATCATTTCTACTACTTCCCTCTTTGTGTGTCAGCTACTTAGGATTCCTTCAATTCCTCCAACATGTTCTCTCCTACCTCTGAGCCTTTGCAGCTGTATGCTTACCAGGTAGAACACCTCACCTGCTTCCCCAACTGGCTGAATCCTACACATGCTTTTGATAAAAGCTCAACAGTTACTTCTGCTGGATGCCTTTCCTGAGCCCTCTACTTTTTAAAAATTTTATTTTATTTTAGGTGGGTGGCCAGTACGGTGGTTGAACACTTAACCTTGGTGTTACTAGCACCACGCTCTAAACAAGTGAGCTAACTGGCCAGCCCCTGAGCCCACTGCTTCAGATGAGACTCTCCTATCGTGTGCTGCCATAGTAGCTATATTAGTTTCCTAGGGCTGCTGTAACAAATTACCACAAGCTGGCTGGCTTAAAACAATGAAGAATTCATTCTCTCACCATTCTGGAGGATAGAAGTCAGAAATCAAGGTGGCAGCAGGGCCATGCTCCCTCTGAAACCTATAGGGGAGAATCTTTCCTTGACTCTCCCTACCTTCTGGTAGTTGTTGGCAATCCTTGGTATTCCTTGGTTTATAGATGCATCTCTCTGATATGGACCTCTGTCTTCACATGAACTTCTCCTCTGTGTGTGTCTCTGTCTTCTGTCTTTTCCTAAAGCCCACCCTAATAACCTCATCTTATCTTGATTACATCTGAAAGACCTTATTTCTGAATAAGGTCACATTCACAGGAGATTAGGACTTCAACACATCTTTTGGGGGAATACTGTTCAACTCGTAACAGTAGCACAAATATGTAGCATAGGGCACAGTAGTCATCTCTTTATATTGCTTTCCCTAGACTGTAAGTTCCTTAAGAGCAGAGACCTTGTCTGTCTTATTCACTGTCTTATCCCCAGGGCCCAGCAGAGAAACTGGCCTGTTGCAGATGCTCAGAGAATATTTAAACAAATGAATACTTTCAAATCCCAAATTCTCTGTGCTTTTGCTCCTCCATCAAACCCCTGCTTCTTTCCTCCTCAAAGCCTCCAATCTGGAATTCCTGCACCATGCTCAGCAGTCACCAAATCCTACTGAACTAGTTCCTGTCTTTCATTGATATTCGAGTGTACTTTGGAAAGTTCGTGGAAAAAAAGAATTAAAAAATAATATGGGCTGGCTGGTGAGCTCAGTTAATTAGAGCACGGTGCTGATAACACCAAGCTTCAGGGTTTGATCCCTGTGCCAGCCAGCCGCCAAAAAAACAAAAAACAAAAAAGAACTCCAAATCTTTCCATGAACTTTTTTTTTTTTTTTTTTTTTAAAAGATGACCGGTAAGGGGATCTCAGCCCTTGGCTTGGTGTTGTCAGCACCACGCTCAGCCAGTGAGCAAACCGGCCATCCCCATATAGGATCCGAACCAACGGCCTTGGTGTTATCAGCACCACACTCTACCAAGTGAGCCACGGGCCGGCGTTTTCCATGAACTTTTTGAAGTACCTTTGTATATGATGCTCAATACATTTTTGTTAGAAGAATGGATGTATGGGTTGACTGCTATTTCTCTTTGTTCTTGATTTGAACCTAATTTTGGGAAGCCCACTTGTGATGCATGGTTTCTAGAAATCAGCGTGTGTGGCTCTTTTCTTGCTTAACTCCTCTCGATTCTTGGCCTCTGTGGACTTTCCCTTGCCCAGCAGAACTCCTCCCCTGGAGGAAGAAGTCTATGGTGGTTAGGATGGGGGAAAGATTTCTTAAAAGGCAGAACTTTTATATTGCTGGGGTTGGAAAGGGGAAATCTGTACCAAATTCCCGGTGTTGTGTTGAGATGGGATGGAGGGGCCACATTCAGTTGTCCAGATGGCCTCTCTTACCACCACTCTTGGTGGGGGAGGGGAGAGGGCTTTGAAGAATATGCCAGTAGATGGAGGCAATGGAGATAGATACACATGCACAGACTACTGCTTCCTCTAGAAGTCCTTAGAATTGTTTCTTTCTAGTCTTTACTATTTTTCCTTAAAGTGAAGATACATAAATGCCCAGAATTAGCAATTTCTCCTAACATTATATGCCCCCAATAATTGAGGTGTCTTTTTGATCATCTATGTATGCTTTCTTCATTCGACAAATGTTTATTGGGACCTCCTTTTTTCAGGTTTTGGGCCATGGGCCCAGGATGTAAAGATAAATACACTACAGTCTGCTTTCTTCAGGAAACCACATTCTGGCTGGAAAGAAAAACCCATCAACTTTAAGATGTGATACAATGTGGTAGGTGCTGTGACAGACAGGTGTGTGCAGCATTTGAGGAGCTCAGAGGAGGGAGACAGAACTTCTAGTTATGATGTGGAAGCATGCACATCGCTATGTCTTATACAAATGGTTGTATGATCTCAAAGGCTTTGGTTGTATCTTTAAATTTATTCCCTACGTTAATATGTTTTGGGATTTTCAACATCATCTCTCAGTTCCCTGGAAGGCAATGGGACCTATAGGTTAAGAGTAGGGGACCTAGAGGCAGGTAGACATGGATTTCAAATCTGGGCCCACGTCTTACCTTCTGGCTGTGTGACTCAGGCAAATCACTTACTCTCTCACATCCAGAAAAGAGCGCGCAAAGGCTGGGATCAAATGATATAATGATGCAATGCACTTAGCATGATGCCTGGCATGTAGTAGGTGCTCCATTATATCTTTCTCCAGGCCATTGATTATAGCTTTTTTTTTTTTAGTGGAGGTGTTGACAAGAAACTTGTATATATTAAACTTCACAAAACACATACAGGCTTAGTTGCTGATTTTTAAAAAAAATGCAATTTATTGGTATAAAAACAGTTTAAACATCATATAAATACAATATAAATATTACTTTAAAAAATATGTATAAGTTAGCAATTTATTTGAGGTAAGCCTACACATTCCAAGAAATGATCTGGCTCTGAAACAGAAGATATCCAAATTGCATAGCCATTTTACATTATTATTTCAGAGCTAAAACATAAAATATTTCAAGTGGCATGTCATAAAAATATAAATATCCATCACTTGTATAAATTAACTCAACTTCACATATTTAAATATCAATAAGTTAAAAATAATAAAATAGTGTCCTAACGCTCATACTTTTAGTTCTTCATAGAGAACAACATAAGTCGTGTGCCCAGCGGACAGGTTTCTGACCAGAGGAAGGAATGCCCGTGAACTACAATTTTTGGATGCCTGCACTACATTATGCGAACAGCCCTCATGCTGATCTGCAGGAAATTCGTGAGGCTGCGCAGGATGAGGTGAATTGTCGTGTGCTTCAGCCACTCATTCTGCGACTGCAGCGTTGCCAGCAGACTGGCATTTATGGTCGGGTCAGGGGTGGTTACTGCATCTGGATTCTTTAACTGAAGGGAAAAGAAAACAAAAAGGATTATTTAAATATTGAACAAATCCTTTGCAGTGGAGGGATGCTTTGGGCTGTGAAGATGTTCAAATATGGGGTGAATGAGACTAATGGGGGCTGCCTGCCCTGACATGCCCAGGTTGAGGGAGGTGCTTCTGCCCTTGTGTGGGACCTTCTTATAGCAACTGGATCCTAGTCATCCCTTTGCTGTGCTGTCTGCCAGGAGACTACAAGCATCCTGAGGGCAGTACCACTATCATATTTGTCTTCTCTTCTGTTATCTGAAACGGTGCCTGGCACAGAGTTAGAATTTAGTAGATGACTGAAGAGCCCATGGTTAAAGGCATTTTAATGTGACTTTTCTCCATTTTCCCTGTCACCATCCATCCAGCATCTGTTCAGCACTCACTGATGTGGTGTAAAGAGGACTGGGAAAACCCTTTCCACAGACCTGCCGATGTGGGGATAAGTGACTTGTGGATGGCCTTGCACTCCAAGTGTGGTCCTGGAGTACCCAGCATAGACATCACCAGGGAGCTTGTTAGAAACGAGCATCTCAGGCCCCACCCAGACCAGCTAAATCCCCAGAGACTTCCTGTGCACATTAGAGTGTGAGAATCCCTGGTTTAAGGCAAACAAGTGGAAAAGGCAGAGGCAGGGCTAACACCGAGGGCTGCATTCCAAGGCCCTTCCCACTGCACTTTGCTTGGCTCATCTACACACACGGAGCCACCAACCCTCCATTCTCTGTCACTTGCCACTTGCATAGCTAGCTGGTGGTGGCCAAGCCCTTGGGATCTCCTCTTCCAGCCTTTAGCCTTTGGCCATTTCTCTGAATTAACTCTCTGGTAAAAAGTAGGGAAGAAACTGAAACGACCATAGTGACAAGAAAGTCACTTGGCAGTCTAATATTGAAATCGCTTTTGTGCTCTCTGTTCTTTGTTATTATGGACCACTAGGTGGGGTTGGGTATGCTTCCTTGGGGCTGCTTTCTTTGAGCCTCTCTTCCCCACGCCGAGTCAGAGGTTGAGGAAACACTCACCTTTTCCTTCAGGATCTGGATCAGGGCTTTGGTATTGATCTGCACAGCTCTGGTATTTCCCTTATCACCCTCAAACTTGTCCTGGACGTACTCCAGGTATATCTGAAACTCCAAAAGACCGGTGGTGATTCTCATCAGGCAATTCTCCTGAGAGGAAAGATGGTGGGAAAATTGGTCATTGCTAGGAGATAGAATCAATTTTAAAATTTAAAATTGCTATAATTCAACATCTTCTCTTTATGCCTTAGCCCTTCTAGGGAACTTCAAGTACTTCTTAGGCATTATGTTTTGGAACACTGGACAGCATCATTTTAAATATCTGGACAATCAGAGGCACCACTTAATTAATTTTACCCAGAGCACAACAGAGGCTAGAATGTGGCAATGGGGAGAGATTCTTTTCTGGTTCTCCCTTGATGCTCTTCCTGTACTGCTGCCCCTGTCAATGTTGGGCTTTTATGAAATAATCACAAGTCACTGCAGCTTATCTCACTGTCTGGAAGGAGAAGGGTGTGGAGAATGATCTCAGCAGGGAGGGTGGGGCTGGGTCCTGCCAGGGGCAGTCAGAGAGGAGAAAGACCCCCAGACCACCTTACCCAGGATGAACTAGCTAAACCTGTTGGGGTTTCTAAGCATTTGATAGTTGTGAAGATCCCAACACAGATGGGCCATCTCTGGTCATGCCTGTACAAAGATAAACTGCCTTTAAAAAGGCTTTAAGTTGACTTCCTCATGAAACATATAATATTCTTTGCATTTATCCCCTTCTTTGTTGTCTGCTTGGGTCTCTATGTACACAGACACTGCATATACAGAGGGAGAAGTTTTGCCTAAGGAATAGCTAAAAGTGTATGCTATTATTATATTAATGAGTTCATACCTGGTTGAATCCAGATTGGAAACATCCATCTTTTTCTGTCAACTGTGGAAGGTTCAGGTTGTTTTCTGCTAGTGCCTCCTTGCTGTTTTCACACCTGATACTCTTGCTACACATCTGGAAAAGAATACCAGAATTGTTATCTTATAAGTGCCCCTAAAATAAATACCACTGGAGGGCCAATTCATGTCCTACCACAGCTAGGAAAGTCTGTAAGAAAAATGAAGTCACAATCCATTGGCATCCTGGCAAGCAAAGTCTACTGGAGTTGGGCACATGTGGGTTCAATTCCAGGCTCACCTGTGACTTCAGTCTTGTTACTTATCCTGAATCTCAGTTTCCTTATCTCCAAATTGGGGATCACTAAACACCTCCCTTGCAATTTTGTCATTAGTATTAGACATAATAATTATATAAAGTGCCTGGAACATAGTAGGTACTTAATAAATGACAGTTATTTTGATGACAACTGGGTAAATATAACTCAAGCCATAGAATGTCCCAGCTGGAAGGACCTGTGAGATCATCAAGGCCACAATTTTATCGATGTAGTCCAGAGGTTGTAGGGAATTTGCCCAAGATCACAAAGCTGGTTTGGTAGGACCAGAACTAGAGTCCAGGCTCCCAATCCCTTCTCCTGTGTTCTTTTCTTTCTACCAAACAGAGCCCAATACGCTTGCACTTAAAGTTGGGATATGCTTTAACCTACTCATGATTTTGCTAGTTTGACAGGCTCCAAAGTATACATCTTAGCTGGAATGACTTTGGGGAGTCCTGACCACTGAGCTTACATAACTGAAAAGTACTGCAACCACCCTGGGTAACTGACCGTTCATTACAGGTGGCACTTTTCTAATCCTCCCAAAGTCCAAGGGACAAAAAGAAGGTTCACAGTCCTTACTTTTTCATTAGGGAAAAGGAAGCCTAAAAATCCAAGTGAGCTGAGAATGGACAATGGGACATGGATTCCAGCCCCATTCTGTATTTTCCAAAAAGGAATGGGACCTCCTGTAACTAGCAGCAGAGGAGAAATACAGAAGATAGTCTAGTCCAGCCCTTTCGCCTCAAATCTAAAGTGCTCCAGAACCCCACAAAGACCTCCCAGTGCAGGGGCCCCTGTCCGCCCCCGGGGCAAAGAGAATGAATGGCCACACGGGCCCTGCATCCCATGGCCAAGCCTACCCACCTCCTCTTTCAGTGCTGAGATTTCGTTCAGGATGTACATAATGCGTTTTTCGGTTTGGTTTTGGAAGAAGAGTGGTGGTCTATGCGAGCTGGCATCCTCTTTGGAATCTTCTCCCAGGGGTATTGGGGTAGGGAAAGCGGTAGCCGTCACCAGGAGCAGCCCCAGGGACAAGGCCAGTGGCCCGAAGGCGCCTGTGGGGGAGGGAAGGAGCGGGGCGGGTGGGCGGGCGGGCGGCGCACGCTGGGGGCCCGCGGCTGGTGCTGGCCGCCCGCCAGCCCCGCTCGCTCGCCGGCTCGGCGCACCCCGCCCTCGACGGGCGCTAGCTCGCTGCTCCGCCGCCCCGCGGCCGCTCCGGGCTCGGGAGCGCCTTCACTTACGTGTGGAGAGGGAGGTCATAGCTGGGGTCCCGCAGGGCAGGTGGAGCTCTCTTTCGTTCCTGGTGGGCTCGAGGGCAGAATGAGCCTCAGACATGCCCAGCCTCATATTTATTGGGGGTTGAGACTCTAATATTTAGACTCATGGGAAAATCCCACATTTGATAAATCTTTGTTGTAGGGTGGGGGGGTGGGGCCGGAGCGGGTGGGGCTGATTGGAAACCTTGTTAAGATTGTGCAATGTGACGTCCTTTAGCATCGCAAGAATCACAGCCGGGGAAAAAGTGCAGCTTAGATCATCACGGAGGCTAACCCTAAGAAAGTGCAGATTAGGTCATCACGGAGCTAACATTACGAAGCAGGATCTCTCTTTACTTTCTTTCTTTTTCTTTTTCTTTTTTCTTTTTTTCTTTTTTAGTGACTCAGCACTTTGGCATGTCTTGACAAAGAAAGTAAAGCTGAAGGCATGCACGAAGTTTTACAAGAAGAAAAAAAGAGAGAGGCTAAAGCTGACTATGAGTTTTTAAAAATACTTCAATTACCAGATTAACAGGCTAGGATCTACTATTCCAGTTCATTCGTATTTGTAAGAAACCTGAGATGTTCTGACCTGAGTTTCTTCAGACCACACCACAGCCCCCAGCCTGGGGTAACAGAGAAGATACTACCACCAGTCATTTCAGTACTTTTATTTCCTGGCTCTGGCCATTACCAGCTACTGCAGAACTGCCTGGCCACCCCCAAATCTTGTGCAGTTATTTCCAGGACTCTCCAGGTGGAGCATGCAGTGCATACAGAAATTACTCCTCTTGCCACCACGTGGCATCTGCCAGTTTCCTTCAGCCCACTTTGGGGAGGTCGGCTACTGCCCTGCTCTTTCCCTAGCAGCCCCTTAGGGATCCTCCTGGTGAGGACTTTGATCTGTGCCAGCGGGTTGTCCTGTGCTGATAGTGCTGTCCCCGCTGTTGCCTGAGTCTTTCCATCAACACCCTAGTCCCCTGGGGTGCCCTGAGGTGCTTGGACAGGCCCAGGGTCTGCTGGAGCCCTCAAGTTACTGAAGCCCACTTGGTTCAGGGCAGGACTGGGGAGAAAACTACTCACCTCTTTGATGGGGATGTCAAAGGAGGACCTTGTGGCATCTTCTAGAGCCTGTGTTCATAGCTCCCTCTTGCTGTACGACTTGATTTGAATCCGAAGGTGGCTGGAAAGAAACTACCAACACAGGCACGGCTCTAGGCTCTAAATCACGCTTCCCCTCCGGTGACCAAGGCTTCCTTATTGGGTCAAGCTTGAGGCTGTGGAGGGAGGGTCCTTGGTCTCATGCAAATGAAAGCTAGACCAGGCAGCCCCACCAATCTCCAGACATGCAGACAGCTCTGAGGATTGCTTTGAAACTAGGACACTTGCACCAAAAAAATTGTTTACAAAACATAGTGTTAACATCACAATCAACTTCTTTGCTTTGCAAAGTCGATCTCTTCAAGATTGCTAAGACAATGACCTCTACTAGTGAATTTAAAATAAGGGTGATTTACTCAAGTTTTGTTTTTTGCGCATAACATTTGTAGGACCTGCCTGTAGGGGAAAGTGAGGTTATCCATTCTTTCACCGAGTTTCTAAACAAAGAGGCAGCAGTCCTCCGGCCTCGTGCGGGTTTTTAGTTTGAAAATGAAAGTAGAAAAAAAATTTTTTTAAAAAGAAAGAAAGTGAAAATGGGGGAGGATATCTGGATGGTTTCGTTTTTTAGTACTCTTGGGTCTCAAGCAACTTAGACACCCTCAAGCCGAGTTCTTTCTCCTGCACCAAATGAAGCCAACTGTCCAGGCTCCCCTGCCAGGCATTCTGATGGGCCTCTGTAGTGTGGGATTGCTTTTTTCCCCCAAATTTCTATATTCTAGAATGTATGACTCAGTAAACTTCAAATACTTGAACTTAATGACTCAATTCACCATACAGATTTATCTTTTCAATAAAAAGTTTTTCTTAAGTAGGAAGTATGTGTCCATAAAATGTTCAAACAGGACATTGGGACATACAGGGAATAGTAAATCTCCTTCCTTTCCTGGCTCCTTTCCCCCAGAAGGGAATTAGGATTAGCACCTAATCCCAAGTATTTTCAACTAAATCCGTTGTTATCCTAGTCTGGGAGAGGTTTTCTTGGCTTACATTATTAGCTTATATATGTGTACACAGACACTCACACAGACATACATGTATTGTACTTTTCAGTGGTCTGGAGGCCACCTGCACAGCTCTCTGTTGGGGGGGGCACACATCAGAGCACAAGCTCATGGGTCTCATAGCTTGGGTTTCAAGCCCAGCTCTGCCACTTGCTAGCTGTTTAACCCTGGCTAAATTACCCCAAGGATCTGTGCCCTTATTTGTTCACCTGTAAAACTGGGATAAAAATAGTTTTTTCCTTATAGGACTGTTGTAAAGACTGAATGAAATGGAGTGTGAAAAATCCCTGGGGCATAGTAATCCTGCAATAAATGCTGACTCTTGGTAACCTCCCTTGGCTTAGTCTGTGCCGTGGAGAACTCTTCTAGCTTGGCTCTGTTGGTTCACCTGGTGTCTCGCTTAAGAAGGAACTGTGAATGAGCCATACCTCTGCGCCAGTGATGAGCCAGTCTCCCAACCATTTCCCTCTGAAGAAATGAGGTTCCGTGTTTTGTTGAAAATACCTAATAGATCAAAGTGGAAAAGAAAAAAAATGATTTCCCCTCCTTTTTAGAGAACATTAAAGTCCCCAAACCAGATCCCTCGATTTTGATAATTTGCCCAGCTTGAGTCTTGCTCCTAGACCTTTTCCAAGACCTCCTGCTATGTGATTTTGTGTCAGAAGTCCACAGCCTTCCCTGTGAGTGGCCATCGTCATTATTCAGACTCCTGAGAGTGGCCCCTAAAGTTGAAGGGGCCTGACTTCACCCCAGATCTTGTGCTTCTGGCAGCCAAGAAAGGGCAAGTGGTGTGAGGATGGGAGTGCATGTGTGTAGGGGGTCAGAGACAGTGTTTCCCGCTAGCATGGACCTTTATTAGTATCAGTGCCTTGGGCTGGCATTAACTTGTGGGAGAAATGAGCTCTCCTTTGCTCCGAAGCATTAATGCAACATCTGTAATTCCACCGTGAGAGCTTTCTTCTCTTGCATTTCAGTGGGGTTTCCATTTGGAGAGCTCATCCCTTGGGTTTTTGGGTTTTTTTTAAGATTTTTTTTTTTCAAGGGCAGTTTTAGGTTCACAGCAAAACTGAGAGGAAGGAACAGAGATTTTTCCATATACTCCCTGCCTCCAAATCTCCCGTGTATTTTAATATGTAAAAGGACTGCTGTCAGCATTTGTAAACTAATAACTTAGTTGCTGTATTGCACCATTGCTGATGTGAAAGTGACTGCCAGCTGAGACCAAGAGAGGCAGGACAAATGGGAGTATACGGGCAAGAAGAAGGGAAACTAAGGCAGTCTTGCTTCCTTTACCACCTTATATAGAGCTGGCTGATCCTCTCTGTGCCCCCCAGAGTTGCTGCCCATGACTGCTTTCCTACATGTTGGTGGAGTCCTGTTCAGACAGTCCATTTATGCATTTGAGGTGAAGGGGGGAAAAGTGACTTCATTTGGTACTTAAGCTCTCGGGAGAAGTGTTTTCCACATCTCACAAGTTAAGATGTGGTGGTGTGCTCTTTGTCTATATTCTGGGTTTCAGAGATGAGTGGGTCTGTGATTTAATAGGAAGGAGTATCCCAAGAAAAAAAAGGAAGTCACTGTGTACTAGGGAACTTGCAGTTGCTGTCAGAATGTAGTTTCACTTGTCACCAAGTCATCAGAAGTTTGCAAACTTAAACAGTGTGTGATTTAACAGCTTCGTCTGGGATTGAGTCCCTCAGAGCAGATACCAGGCATGAAGACCCTGGGAAATGTCCTGCTTTGGGAAAAGTGGTGGCATTACTTTGAGACAGTATATGAGGGACATCTGGTATGTCGATTTGGAAAGAGCTGGCTGATCTTGGAGGGCAGCCAGGCCTGGTGACCAAAGGTCTTGACCATTTTCCCAGCCTGGTTCAGCCTCATTTCTGGCCTCACAGCCTCAGCTTCAGTGTCCTATCGTAGCTCCTGGAGACTTCTTGAGCTGGCCTTGGTTTTTTTCTGAGGGGGAGGGTACACTGGGGCTGCACCTAGCTCTCCTTAGGCCAGGGAAGGAGCACATCTGCCCTGCTGTGTTTCTGAATAAAAACTACATAGGGAGGGGACCTGCTCCATGCCCTTGTTGTTCTGCTGTGTGCTGAGTTACCTTCCCCTCGCTGAAGTGGGAAATCCCAGGCATCTCAGGAGGGAAGTGGCTTCTCCCGGGGCGACAGTGTAGATGCCCCTGCCTTGGGACACCTCTGTGCCCTCTTCCTTGTGGTCTCCAGGCCTGGAATAAGAGTGCCCTGATCCCAAGATGTTAAGCCAGCTGTTCTGAAGCTGCTTTGGTGACGAGAAATTGCCTTGCTGATCCTGCAGGAGCCCCACTGGCCCTGCCCCCAGGGCTGGGGAGGTCCCTCAGGCTCAGTTTCAGTGCTTTGTCTCTTCTCCATCTGTGGGGTAGGCCTTCTATGTTGGTGGCTGCTGGTTCTGCTTTATAATTAGGAAACTTCAATTTGTCACCTTGGAGCAATAAGATAATTTATTCTCACAAGTCATTTGAACCATCTTTGGTTTCTTTAAAGATCTCAGTTCTCTGAGTTCAGTGTCACAGGCAGAAACCAAGCATGCAAAACATTGGCTGGTCCCCTCCACCCTCTTCCCTCGAAATTAAGGTACTAAGAATCCATTTGAAAGCATCACATTTATCAGCAAGACCAGGGGATTCTGCCTGCCTGGCTATGACATCTTTCATCTCCTTTCCCTGCCCTTTTGGCTAGTTATTTGCTTCCAAGAAGGTTCTTAGTCTTTCTGAACTAAGCCTCATACGTTTCTCCTTAATAAGCTGAAGCCATGAAGGTAGGGAAGGCCTCTCTAGTCTTCATGGTGGAAACTGCCATGAAAT